AATGAAGAACTGGACTCGTTTCCGAGAGGAGCAGCTTTCGGAGCCACCTGAGTAATTTGCGGATGAGGAAATAACCCATTTGAATAGTGGCAAGGAGTGAAATGTAATCTTGAAAGACTTCTGATTTGCGCGTGTTTATTTCCTCAGATAATTAAGCTGAAAGCAGAAGCCCGTCTTGATCTGCTGAAGCAGATCGGTGTGTCTGTGGATACGTGGCTAAAAAGCGCGATGAACCAAGTGATGGAAGAACTGGAAAACGAACGCTGGGCCAGCCTGCCTTCGGTGACCAACAACGGCTCTTCACATCTGGTATGGTTTCCAGCGTGTAAAACTCACTTCGTCTCCACCCGGCTCTTTTCTAGTAGCGACTCCTGACTTAATATTGAATATAAACCAGAATTGATAATATTTGGTTGTTTGTTAGCTAACTGGAAAAACCTTGTAGCTTTACGTGGCTGAAGCATGTGTCTGAATTTCATGGGAAAAAACCCAACAACAACAAAAAAAAGGATTTCTGGGTTCTGTTGCTGAGTTTACTTTAGATCGATTTTTCTGACCTTGGATAAGTGCCATAACATTCATTTGCCATCTCCTGGAAAGAAAAATGTCTGTGTGTTTCTTTGAAGTTTCACTAATAGTTTATGATGTTATCTGAGACGCTTGGATGAAAGGCTATGTTTTTCCAAATGTTTAGAAAAATGTAGGCTCTGCATCATCTCTTCAAGAGCCGTTTATGTGCAGATTGCAGTGAAAGTCATCAAGAAAGCAAAGCCTGTTTTCCAAATTGATTTGGATATTTGAGGTGAAAATTTGATTCATTAAATATCAGTGAAAGGCTTTGGAAAACAGGCTGTCTGTCCATTCCTGCGAGCAGGGTTAGGTGTTTCCCTCAAAGATTTGTCATAGATTTAGATGTTACCACTATTCACCTGCAAGTTACTGCCCTGTTATTTGAGATACATCCAATATTTGACTTTTTCTTTATGAATAACTAGTTTCATTAAAGCAGTGCCGAAGTTAAACTGGAACAGACCACAAACCTGATCACTGCTGCGTTTCATCCCAAGAGCTGGTAACTTCTTAAACTGTTCAATTCAGCTGCATTAATATGTCTTGCTGTGTCCGAAGTCACGCTAGCTAACTCTTTCGAAAATTTCATCCAATATACCCAAAATTGAACTAAAAAGCGACTTGGATCAATGGAAGATAGGTAATGATTTTTTACTCAGTCGTACCTAAGACTAATTGTGTTTGTAATGTCTGTAGCTGGTTTGCAAAACAAGCCGGAGACATCTCCCATCTGTTTAGCTTGGAAGAAAGCACATTTTTATGTAATTCAAGAAAGAATAAAAAGCAAACTCTCATTTCTCTCCCCCCCCCCGAAGAATGATCTGTTTCAAAAAAAACAGCGATAGCTGGATCGAACAGCTGCCTGAACCAAGAAACCCTGTTCAGAAAACAGGAACTGCTAAAAGAGCTCATGTTCTCCTTTTTTTAATTCCCCTACATGGCATGCGATGCTGAGCTGTCACCTTTGGCAGTAAACCTAACCAATCTGTTGCTCTTCACCAGTAACCAGCTAAAATAAAATTCCTGAAGGTTCAGTCAGTTTGCCTCAAACAAATTTTAAGTTTTCTGTGCGTCTTTATATATTTAATATTTAACAAAATTCGGAGGCTTTTAGAAAGTCTCGGTTTGCATGTGGATACTTTCCTAACTGTAGTCTTCATACACTATTAAAATTACTTAGCTCACACTTTCTTTTCATCTTAAATGCTTTGGACAGCCAGAATATATCTTCTCTATAACAGAGCTTTCAGGGGGAACGGGAAATGTGATTTTTCACCGTTTTCCAAATGATTTGGAGAATGGCTTGCTTTCGCGGACCACCTAAGGGAGGCGAAGTCTCCATTTCAGCAAGTATGTGGTATCTACACACAAAAAAATCCTGTTCGTTCCCACGTTTCTTCATGTTTTTCTGCTGCTTTATTGTTTTCTTGGTAATGGTGGCAAACCCCTAGAGGGAAGGGTTTTTTTGGATGTACGGCTATTTTCACCTAGGTCAACTTCAGTTCAGAAAAGCGAGCGAGCGCTGACCGGAGTCTCAGCAAATCCCGAGACTCCCAAATCCACTCTTTGCTTTCTTCAGGGTGTTAGGATGTTTCTTCCAGGACGTTACAGACAGAGCTCAAACACAGTGACAGTGACTTGCAGTGCTTTATTCCCATGGTTAGGAGTATAATTAGAGATGAAAGTTGGAGTATGCAGATCCGAGCTTCAGCCTTCCCAAATCCCAAAGGAGTTTTTGTGCCGAGTTTCATTTCAGATCCTCTCTAGCCAGGATAGGTGAGGATGAGTTACGTAGCTGTGTTTAACAGTGATTTTTTTCCCCTTTCTTCTTGTGCTCCACCTCCTTTAACTTCCCGTTGCGCATGTTGGATGCCGCCCAACACCTTGTTCTCTGTCTCGTCAGACATGCCAACAGTTGGCCCTGGAGCCAAACCCCGTGCTAGTCCCTGGCGAGCCAGCAGATGCCACAGCGTGGGAGGTTAAACCCTGATTCTTATTTTCCCCTTTTACACTTACGTATGCTCCCGTATAAAAAAAGACGCTGTTGACCTTGGCAGGCCAGATGAGGACAGCCTGTAGATGGAATTCTTAGAACTGTTAGCGAAATTACGTTGCTTGCAATTATTAGAAGAATTACTGCGGCATATAACAAGCAGCACTTCACTTCATCCTTGAAGAGCGGGCCGTGTTTAGTGTTGAGAAACCAGCTATCTGCCATCCTTACGTCGTGCATCGCTTTGCTTTGTGTCAGTATTTGTCATGATGCAATTTGTTCAGCAAAGCTCTCGATATATTTTCTTTCCAAGAGCCGAAAAGAAGAAAGCGGCATCGATGGCTTGATACCACTGTATTTATTTAACCTACTACAGCAATGTAACAAGCTGAAGGAGTTCATATTCCATCGCCTATCCAGTCGACTGACTTTCTGATATAATGATGAAATGCATAATCTTGGGAGGAAATACTTTTTTTTTTCCCTGTGTACATGCCCAAAAAAAGTTAATCGTCATTTTGAATTTTAATTGTCATCTGGAAAACGTATGCAATGCTACTCTTAGATATTAACATCGCTGGGAAACCTTTATGCTGCCTACAACAAATGTGTTGTAAATATTATGTAATTTAGTCACAAAAGGAGGAGAGAATAAAGTCTTTATGGGGTTTGTGTTTTGTTTTCTATTCGCTGGGACCTGAAGCAGTACAGTTATAAGAAACGTGTGACCAGTGGGAGTACAGTATTGCGGAGTTAGAAATCAAGTTTGCAGTTGGTACGTTTACTGTGACCATGAAAAGGGATGCTTTTAACTGTAAAGGGATATAGCATCTTTTAACTGCACGAGGTTATAGCATCTTTCAACTCCTAGGTTACTGGTTCATATTCAAGCCTGATTGTCAGCTGATACCAGCAACCTGTGCGAAACAAATTGTGGTTTCAGTCCCTAAATAACCTGCATTGCAGACTGCCTCTGACTGACCGATACCTTCGGGTGCTCTGGCAGACCGCTCTGTTAGTGAATTGGCAGGAAATTTCAGCCTTTTTTAGCTCCTACAGGTCGTACATCCGAATCAGGCTGGAGGTGGCTCGGTATACATGTGTTCTCTGTTGTTGCCGGGGTCTCTGCATTTCCGAGGAGAGATAAAACAGGGCTTTTGGTATATTTTTTTGGTATCGAATCTCTCTGTGTGTAGGATATGCAACGAAACAAGATAGATATTTGCATACCTTTTTCCATGTGTGTAATCAAGCTATCTTGTCGCCTTCTTACCTGCATCCATTCTTACGTTTGCTCTCCGTTACATACTTTCGGTGTAATTGTGGCTGCTGTATTCATTCTTTGGTTATGCTGTCTTTCATTACCAGACTCCCGTAGAAAGATGAGCTTTATGAAACAAACTGCCAAGTTTCCTGTATCATTAATGCCGTTTTCCCTCTGTGTGCCTACTTTGCAAATGATTCTATTCAAGGAGTTTGAGCAGCCCACACACTGAAAATTGAAATGTGTTTTCCCTCCTCGTGTTAGAAAAGCAGGACCAGATGTTTCACGCACAAGGCTTTCTAGACATGATACACTAATTTCCATGATGTTTCATACGGCTGTCAGCTGCATGTCAGCTTCGGCTGCTGGGACATAGACCATGCACAGCAAAAGGCAGTTAAGAACTAGAGGTTGGAAACCTTACATTTGCCATAATTTATAGTTGGCTGTTAATATATCAAAGCATTAGCTAGGTAGGATTAGCGATGTTTTTTGTTACCGCAACGTCCGTGAACGCATTTAAGTAGCAATGGACGCAAACTGCGCTTGAATGAAAACGAGTGGGGAAAAAATAATGCAAGTTACAAGGACGCAGTCTAGAAATCATAACATAAAAAATCATCCAAGTCAGAAAATGAGGAAGCTTTGTGCTCTTCTACTCCAGGTCAAGAAGAGCAAAGACGTTACAGAGCAGAGGTACGGAGACAGCTGGTTTAGGGAGCCTGCACAGTGCCTTTTTGGTCCCAGCCTAACTTCTTGTCCATATATCAGCCTTTCAGTTTTCACGAGGAATACCAAATTCACTCCCAGATTAAAAGGAATAAATAAAGGGAAGATGGCAAATACATAACACTGTTGCCTTTGATTCGAAGGACTTGCCTATTTTCACATGCGATAAAGTGTTTATTCAAAATTTAAGCCAGGCACGAGGCCAAAGCACAGCTCACGTCAACATTGCCCAAACTACATTTATAGAAACTTGTATTTTTCCAGCATATTGACTTCAGGTTTTATTTAGATTTTTATAGCTAGTTTTTAATCATCATTCTTTCTCTAAGGAATTTTTTGTATAAACTGCAGCCAATCTATTTGTACAATACACCAGCTGGAAGGCTGATTTTTTTTTTTTTTTAATTTTTTCAAGTTTAAGTATTTCCACTGCAGTTTCATTTTATAACTCGTGGTCGCAGGTACCTTAATCTTTTAATAGTGTAAATTCTCAGTAAGTGACTCTTTCTTCCATTAAACTATTTGCTATTCCTCTGAAATGGCATCTCCAACGTCCAGTAGTCACTGTTTCACAGCTTATATAAAAAATAGATAAGTGTCCAGCAGTTGAGTTGGAGCTTCCAAAATCTTCTACGCTTGTTTTTGAAGTACAGGGCCCCGTGCTTGAATGAAGAAATACAGCTGAGTTAGGCAAAGATGTAATTTGGTGACAGCTCTTATTCTTTCGCTTCCCTGTATTTGCTTTGTTTGATGACTGCTTTCCTGATGTTGTTTGAGAATCGTATGTTGAACCAGTATTTAGTTACTGGTTTTTTTGCCCAGTTTCAATAATCGTAAGTAGTAAAAAAAACCACACTGAAGAATACTGATCAATTCATTGCTATTGTTTTTTCTTCACTTATTTTTACTTGATGGTGTAACGCCAAATTTAATTTGTTTTAACAGATTAACGCTGATGCAGAAAAGGAAGAAGGTGAAGAGTTTGAAGACAGCATGGATGTTTTTGATGACAGTAGTTCTAGTCCTTCTGGTACTCTAAGGAATTATCCTCTCACCTGCAAAGTTGTTTATTCATATAAGGTTTGTGATTTATTTTTTTTTTATTAGATTAAAATGAATTATGCAACAAAGGAATAATAGATGTAACTGTTCTGTGGGAGTTTGAGGTCGAATGTCAGCGTTTGGCTCAATAATGGCACACCTTAAATATAGCTAACATTTAGTTGTGAAAAACCACAGCAGTGTAAAATCCGTGATGTCGTGAAAGACATTTATGCTACAGTCCGGCAGAGTACTGGAGTCCATGCATGAATTGACGTGTGTAGAGATGTCCCTGCCTGGCTTCAAGGAGACCAGCTGCCACCAGAAGATGTTGTAATTTCTGCTGCTGAGCCGGCGTGGCTATATTCGAAATGCCTTCTCGGTGTTAGGCGTGCTTGTATGCTGTACAACAAAGCTCTTCTTTGTACTGTAATAGTGAAACCACCATTCATGAGTCAAAGCTTTGCTGACAAACTGCATTCATGCTATTTACTTCTGCTAGCGCTGCTAGGTCAGTTGTAAATCACACCGCTGCGGTAGCCGAAGCCAGTGGCAGACTTAGAGTACGGAGTAATTAGGGTTTAAAAAGTAAATAGGGTTCGACGCGCTGGGTGGTATTCAGGATGCTTCCATCTACCCTCTTGAGTGAAAAAGGGTCTTGTGAGTGCCGGTAGGTATACAGAAGAACCCTTATTAATATGTTTTAAAGTATGCTACACCATAAAATTTTCCATTTTTTAAAAAACTTGAGTTTTGATGAAAGTCTGGATGAGAACGATCTTTACGCTGCCTGTCCCGTGCACCTGAAAACACTTTTATTTTCTAATCTTCCTGTCACATGCTTCAGGCTTCTCAGCCAGATGAATTGACCATAGAGGAGCATGAGGTATTGGAGGTCATTGAAGACGGAGATATGGAAGACTGGGTAAAGGTATCATTTTTCTGAGATTGTTTTCTTTTCGCTATTACTTTTACAAAATAGAACTTTGGGAGAAAGTACTTGGATTCTTTTCAGACTGGCATGCAAAAGCAGAGCATCTTCTATGTCATTTGTGTACAGGCACGGAATAAAGCGGGTCAAGTGGGCTATGTGCCAGAGAAGTACCTGCAGTTCCCGACGTCCAGCAGTCTGCTGAGTATGCTACAGTCCCTTGCGGCACTGGATAGTCGATCACACACCTCAAATAACTCCACTGAGGCCGACTTAGTCTCAGGCAGCCTGAACGGAGACTCCAGTGGTAGGTACCAATAAATAAATAAGTAGTATATTAAGCCTGTTCTCGAAAGCATTCTGCATATCGAGTTTGGATGTTGCGGATGAGAATTTCTCCTATTTGACCTGTATCTGAGTACAACGGTTCTCAGTAATTATCTGTCTCATATCAAATCTGCGTAATTTACCTGGCTGTCACATAGCGTTGAGATTAACATTAACTAAAATTAAGGAAAACTAAAATAATTTGACTCAGCAATTACAGAATCATGGAATCATTTGGGTTGGAAAAGACCTTTGAGATCATGGAGTCCAACCATAAAAGTATGTATAGTACTTATTATTTTTTTTAAGCTCATGCCAATTACACATTTTTTTTTCCTCTTCCATTCTTCAGTCTGTTTTGTAAAAGCACTTTATGATTACGAGGGCCAGACAGATGATGAGCTGTCCTTCCCGGAAGGAGCGATCATCCGTATCTTGAACAAGGAAAATCAAGATGATGATGGCTTTTGGGAAGGAGAATTCAACGGACGCGTTGGGGTGTTCCCATCAGTATTAGTTGAAGAGCTTACAGCTTCAGAAAATGGAGAGACTCAGTGGATTGGAGATATTCAGGTATGTAAAGAGTTGAGGTGCTAGCTTGCACGTATGGTATTAGTTTGTTAGGGCAATTTTGCAAGGCTGCAAAGATCTGCCACTTCCTTAGGGGGGAAAAACAAAATCAGAACCCGCTTAAGGAAAAAAACTCAGAACCAATTTAAGGAAAAAAAAAAACAAAACAAAACCCTGAGTGCTTACCTTGTAGTTTCTTACCCAGCCTAATAATTATCAGCTGATATATTTTGGCAAATGTAACAGATTTGTGAATAAAGGCAAGTATTTGGGTAGAAAGGAAATGAACCAAAGGAGAAAATTCACAGTCTACCTCCTGTAATTAATTTCTGGCATAGACTGAGACATCAAACACAACCTGGCCGAAAGAGAATTACAGGCTCTTTCAGCCCTAATTTAATGTTTTCATACTTAAATCTGTTCTGTATCCTCTCAATTTTTGAAGGGCAGAATACTGCCGAATATTGTATTACAGTAATTTTTGCAAAAATGTCCTCGTTTCAGTATGGTTCTGTAATCCTTATATCATACTAGAGAATCCGACACATTCTCATGTGTAATTGTGGTGCTAGAAGCTGGACTTCCACGTTCCCTACAAAGTAATTTCTCCAGTATTTTCATTCTTTGATTTGAGAAGACTGTGAAAACTTAACATTTAAATGATACCTGTGCAACTGAGTTGGGAGAAAACTCACGATCTTAACGCTTTTGTGTGAACGTATGTGGAGGGGCACAAAATGACTTGGCCAAACGACTTTTTTCAAATAACCTTCAAAACGTCTGTCTAAATTATCTGGGAGAGGATGAAAATCGCTGCTCAGTGGCAACCTGTGATTTAAAAAAAATATAACCACTGTTGGATATCTTGGCTTTCCTTCCCAAACGTACCTGACAGCACGTTTGACAGATAGTTTTTCTCCAGAGGAAAGATCCTAGCATACTGATGTGTCGGAGAACTTGCTGCACCTCGGTGCGTACATAAAAACTGTCGAGGAGTGAGGCTTTCTGCAGCCCCTCTCTCTTTTTAACACAGGTATCCCCGACTCCGAAGCCTAATAATGCCCTCCCGCCGCTGCCACTGTACGACCAGCCTCCCACTAGCCCTTACCACAGTCCGGATAAAAGAGGTTCTCAGTACTTCCCCAGATCACCGTCAACTAACGGTAAGAAATTTTGTGACAGTAAAAGAAACATTTCAGCTAAATGCTTAATTCAGAATGTTCACATTTCAGAGGTGTTGGGGGGGAAAGGCTTTTTTTGCAACATAAAGTTAATTCAGCAATACTGAGTGGCTTGTTTGTGATGGGTTGTTGCTTGCTCTTTCAGAAAACAGCTTCAGTTCAGAGTCCCCCGGATTCTCACAGCCTCCGCGAATCCCTCCCGAAACGTCGTATGGCAAACTGCGACCCGTAAGTTAAAAACGAATACTGTTGGTTTTATCGGTGCCACAGAGTTATAAGGCCAAGTCTAGGTAAATCGGGATAGGTACGTTCAAAGCAGGGTGGTGATACAGCACCTGATGATTTGGCTCTCTCTGTTCGGCAAATCCAACGGCTATGTATAAAAATGCGGTATCTCAGATGAATACGGCGAGGAAAGGTCTGTTCACTTCCCATTGATCACACCATAGATGCGTCAAAAAGCTGTAGAACCTGAGAGCTCTTTGAGATTAAGTGAACACTAGAACAAAACAAAGCGGCGCTTGTTTAAACAGTAAGCCACTGTGTTTCAAGATGACCTTGAATCTTACCCGTCCCCTATCCTTCATCTAACCTGCCCTTCTGCATCTGCCTTTATGGATGTAATACCTGCACGTCTCCGTGTGAGGCACATGAATCGTGAAATCGAACCCGGGAAGAAATGGCATCTATAATGATAGTAAAGGAGGTGTTAGTCGATAAACTTACGCTGCCTTTTCAGGCGCTGGGAGATTATTTCTGTTCTTGCCACGTGTAATAACCCCGAAACAGAACTAAAAAAGAGGTGGTGAATAAATGCCAGAACGGTTTAATCATACGATTTGTACAGTTGCTGCTTCTCCAACGTGCCGGCAGACAAACCTGCTTGCCGGCAGTTTGACGTAATATGCGGTCCTTGGGACTCGATTGCATTTAGGGTTAAATTTATTTCCGAACCCCTTGATTTGAGGGTTTGGGATTAAAGATTCTTAACGATAAAGTCGATGTATTTTGTGATGTCTTTGCTGCCTAGAAAGAGAGATTTTGCCAGGAAAGGAAAGGAAGAATTTAATCACTTAGAACTTGCAAAATCCATCTCCCAGGATTAACTTTGAAATCAAGTTTTGGGGGTTTCAAAGTCCTAAACCAAATCATATTAAAATGTAATATTTGTATTTTCCTGGCATTCTCAATGGATGAGGTTGCAGAAAAAGAGTATTTTTGGATATTCAGAAATTATATTCTGAATATTCCAGTGGTCGGTGAGTTAGCCTTATTCATTGACATACGCAAGGCAGAGAGAGTACCGCATCGTCAAGTATTTAAGTATCGAGGAGAGAAGTTTCACGTTATCTTATTCCCTTGTAAAAAGACACTGATTCAGCTTTTCCGTTTTGTAGATTTATATTTACCTCATGCATTTCTTGCAACTGACTGTCTTTTCAAGATATTACTACAGTGTCCTGCCTTAATTAAAAGGATTTCTCTTAGTATTGCATTGTAAATATGCCTGGTTTGAAAATACCGTGAAGTTGTTCTGGTATCGCTCCACGATTCATGTTTTCCATAGCGAGTCACTCTGGTGTATTCTGAAATCACGTGACAAAAACCCTGCATGAAATGCTGTTAGCGCTTGAGGTAATCTCTATCCGGAGCAATAATATCTTTATTGATGTGGCAGAGTGTAAAAATAGCATCAGATTTCAGGTGAATGTTGTTCAGGTCAGTGATCGATTAAATACGAGTAAGCCGCTTAGATGCAACAAGGCTTTCTTGTAGTTTCCAGTCCACGTAAGTTCCAGGCAAGGGCGTCATCCGATTTCAGCATTCGATGTAAAGTCCAGAGTCCGTCCCAGGTTTACGTACCGGATGATCCCTGGGTACAGGCAGGACAGACGGGGTATCTTCCTCGGTATGTTTCCGCTGTCAGGATTGCTAGTCCTCCTGGAGAAAAATCACCTGAGAGTGGTGAGGGTTTATAAGGAAGAGCCTTGATGGCTTAATTGGAGGCTGCTGGACCTGAATTCAGCTGGTTACTCACTGCAGTTCTGTCGATCTTAATATACGATCTGTATATGTGCACCAGCTTGAGGAATAAGCCCGAAGTTGCCGTTTTAGTCTATACAAGTTCTGAAATTTTGACAGTTTTCTGATAGTTACGGGCTGGTTCTGGCTGTTTCAGGTGCGAGCAGCTCCACCACCCCCTACGCAGCATCATCGCCGGACAACAGAGAAGATAGAGGACGTGGAAATTACTCTGGTGTAATGATCGGACTAGTTAAGTAGTAGTGCTACAATCAAGACCGAACGCGGTATTTGGTCGATCTCGTTTTTAGGCACCTTTGCATGATGAAGACTTTTAATAGAGCAAGAGATAGGGAGGATTTTATGTGGCAGTGACATGGTGGATTCCTTCCTTCCCACAGTCATGACTATTTCGTGCCTTTTTTTTTTGTTTTGATTTCTATACGTCGTTCTTCCTCTCTTAGCACAAACCAAGACGGGCCAAACAGCGAGCAGAGGATTGCCTTGGAGCAGGTTTCTCTCTTGGCTGAAGATGGTCAGATTTATACGGAGGCTGAGGGAAGAGCCTCGTTCATGCAACTTAGTCATAGCGTACTTCGATCACGTGCATTAGTACAGTATATTACTGTTGCCATAGGAATGTGTTAAAGATTGTCACTTCTTCAAGTAGCATTACTTGTCTGATTAGGTATTAATCAGATCTTGTGGAATGAAAAAGGGAACTGAAAAATAAGTGTAAGGAGAGGCTGGCTCCTCTTGAATCCCCTTGCAGAAAGGAAGAAACGGGAAAATAATCTTACAGATAAGGAAAACTGAGGCAGATCATACGGCGTTAATTACATTAATGCACACCTCTTCAATAATTAACAGTTAAACAGAACTAAATGTTCTTTGTATTAATATTTATGCAGTACATTTAGTAATAGAGTATCTAATATGGAGGTGCTGAATTAGTAGCAACATCCTGTTCCATAGCATAAACCGACTGGTAGAGAAGTAAGTGAGATTTTGTCTAGATCTGGAAATTGAGCTTCATTTTTTTTCTTAGCAGATTTTGGGGGTTTTGGTTTTGTTTTTTTTTTTTTTTTAAAAAAGTATTTGGGTCACTCTTATCCCAGTTATTGCCGTGTACTTTATTATCCAACGTTAGCAGTATATCTTTGTCATCACAACATCTGGCTAGAGTTAGAGGTTACATTTAGAGTATTTACACGCGTTATTTAGTTTTTGCATTGGATGGTCCTGTAGCATTTTCCCATGCGAAGCCCGTTAACGAGCCAAAGCCAGAGAGCCAGGAAAAGCTCCGGTTTCTGCGAAGCCTTCAGACCGCCTTTGCGGCCAAGACTGTGGTCTCAGATTACTCCTAGGCAAGAAATAGCGAGTAAAAGAATTTCAAAACTAATTTTCAGTCGGAGAGCTCCGAAAAGGAAGCTTTTTTGTTGTCGTTGTTTGAAAGAAAAGGGCAGAGGATATTCTGAGGTTTAACATGGAGAGAAATGGTCAGAGGAAGGGGAAAAAAACTGGATGAAGACAGGTTTTTCTTTGTGTACTTACTAAATTATTTTCAGCCATCTCCATCAGATCAAAGCTTCAGTTAAAAGGCATCACAGGGTTGGTTTTTTTGAGCTGTTATATGGGTTCTCTTGAATGCGCTCTTATGTCTTCATATTTTTTTTTCTAAGCCAGTAAGTTTTCTGCCTTTAGTTTACTAACAAGGGCTATTTTTTGAGGCTGCATTTACAAAAAAGAAAAAAAAAAAAAAAAAAAGATCATCTAACGAGATTATTTTATCATAAACTTTGCACATACTTATAAATCCCAACCCAAGCTGGGTCTCCGAGACATTCGTGTTTGCCAATCTCCTTTCCCAGCGGGATCTCGAAGCGAGAGCGGGGCTGTTTGAAGAAAACAATTCGCGGATCAGTTAGGAAATCGGTGACTGTCCAATGAAGTCTTCTCCGTATTTTCCATTCTGTTGCACCTCTTGTCCTGTTGATCTGTTTGAGGTCTTTTTATGTGTTTATCAAACTTATTCTTAAGTTTAAAGAAAAAAAAAGAAAGTTTTTAAAAAAGATTTAACTGTTTGTTTGCAAAAATTTTGAAAGCTTCACAATGCAGAAGAGAAGCAAGTATTGCCATAATGTTCATGTTCGATTTCTTTGGCCAGTTTTTCTGTGTCCTTCATCCCTGGACTTTCAAAATTCAGAAAGTGTTATTTAAAGTCTCTTTAGTTGTATTTTAAAGTATTTTCTGTAAGAGCTGCTAATTTTATTTAAAAAAAAAAAAAAAGAAGAAAAGTTGTAAAAATATGCCTCCTTTTTAACTATGATTTCTTCATACAGGGCATGTATTCGACGTATCATCGTGTACAGCGTCAGTACACGGAAAGCATAGGTGCAAATGCTTTCTTTATATTGGCTGTAAAAAGTTTGTATTTATTATGTATAAAACGTTGAATAAAAAAAAAGTGGAACTAAACCCATGACGTTGCCTCGATACAGACACCGCTCCGCCTCTGGCAAAATGTCGTTAGGAGATTCGGGCCGGAGGTCTGTGATTGAGGGAGAACCTGACATTTGGGGATAAAAAGGTAAATGTTCTTGGGTATCGTTTTTACGGTTTATGCTTTTACGCAGACATTTGAATCTCCTGCTCAGGAAAAGCCTGATGCACGTACTTAAAGCCGTCTTTAAATATCGCTTTAAGGTGGTATTTATATGAGGAGCAAAATTATGCCAAAACCGGAGAGCCAGTAACAAAGCTCCAGTTATCAAAACAACTGCTTAAATAGCCTTTATGCTGTCAGGATAGTTGCCTAAAGAAAGAGAGGGAGAGGGTGACCGGTAATAACTCTTCCCTGTGGTCGTCCTTCAGTGGGGTCCATTTGCCTAATTGCGCGAGGAGTGTTTCCACTGCATCCCAGACCTCTCTAGCTTCAGGGTCCCGTTTTGCTCTGGGTTTCCGTGTTATTTTCTCACCGGCACTCGGAAGCCGCCCTCCGGTGACCGGCTCCTCGCTCAGCTCATCTCCGTTTCTCGAAGGTGAGTGCTGTTTGCGTTAGGTGCCAAGCGATACGGGAGCTCCGCGTCCTGCTTTCCTCCCGATTTTTGCTTTCAGCTGCTTGGAGCCGAGGCTGTATTTGACGCTGTTTGGACGCAGCTCGCTGCAGCAGGGCTCCAGCACCATCGGCTGCTGGGCATTGCCGCGGTGTTGCGTGAGATCTTTCATCTTTCGTTTCCGCTGTTCACACAGAACTGTTAACACGGGCTTTCATCATTTTTTTCCCTGAGCTCCTGCAGCCTCTTCCTTTGAGAAATCCCATCTTCCCCCGCTTTTCATATGCATTCACGGTGCTCCTCCAAAAATTATTGTCCTGGCTTCCTGCTTTGACCGCTTTGTCCTTTTCTTTTAGCTTCTTGCTCGTTGCATCTCTCCTCTTCTTGCTGCATCACACACAAACCTCTTCGCCTGCGATTCTTTTCCCCGTCAGTATCGCTTACAGAGGATGTTAATCCTCAGATCCACCAATGATGCCGCTTCTCATTTCTCCCGTTTTTTAACAGGCCGCCTTCATGCCTCTACTTAACTCTCCTTCCCCCTTCCTTAAAAGCTGTGCCGTGACAAAACGAACCCAGCAGATACTGCCCGATCAGCGGGTGTGCTGCGATTGCATCATCCTTGCCATTAACGTGAGCGTAACTTAGTTCCGTGAAAACCTCTCCGCCCTGACGTGCTTTCCCAACCGAGTGGCAAAGCCCCCCCTTGGGGCCGTTTGCCTGCAGGTGGGGGGGGGGGCTGGGGTTTTCAGAGCACGCAGCGGCCATGAGGAGGCAAAAAAAAGGTGCTGAGTGGAAAAAAAAGGCTCTGTGGTTACCTGTTCTGCTTGGGGTACTTAGAGAAGCAGTATGCGGACCTTGCCCGGCGCAAAGGTTGAAATGTTGGGGCGTCGCCGTCTGCGTTAGAGCCGGGCTTTCCTCTGACGGCTCCGGTTCCCGGGTTTCCAAAAAGGATAATGAGCCTGCGACTCGACAGAAGTGATGGGGGTAAACGACGTAACGGAGCTTACTACAAATTAGTCGCGCCGGGGTTTCTTTTTGTTTGTTTCATGGAAATAGCAAAAGAAACCCAGGCGGGTGGGTGAGTTCTCTTTCCCATATAGCGCAAGTATCTCTCTCTGTTAATAGCGATTAAAAAGGAGAACAAAACCCGCACCCTCTTCTCCAAATAAAGGATCTTTCGCTTCTCTGCGTGTAACGTGGAGGCCTGGCTGCTCTGCAGCTTGCACTTCTGTCCTGCTTGCTCTTCCAGGAAGGTCCCTATAATTAACAACCTGCAAATCTCAGCACGGCGGAGGCAGGAGGAGCAGGAAACCTGCCTTAATCAGCCTTTCCTTGCATTGAGCCTCCCAGGCAGCTTGGGAGGGGAGGCGCTGCTGCCGTGGAAGGAGTCCTGTCTCCCCCCGTTTTCCCCGTTTGCAGATCTCCTGCCCTACATAAAAACGATGGGAGGGAGGGGAGGAAGCGTGCTGCCCCCTTCTGTCCTACATCTGGCCGGCTCTCTTCGAGGGGTGAGCTCGGGGGCATCGAGACCTCAGTTCAAGGCACCGGGGGAGGTTGGAGAAAGTGAGGGATAAAGGGAAAGAAAACTCAACTGAAGTCAGGGATGCAGCAAATGAGCCAATAAAAAATGCAGCTGGGAAAACGCTGACGTGCCTACTATACCAAGTAGTTTCCTACTCCAGGCGTTACCCGGGGGGGATTGAAGATTACAGATCTGGTAGAAGGATCGCTGTAGCAAGTGAGCCTCTGCATTGCAGGTCATTTCATCCAGAAAAAAAAAAGCACTGCGGTGATACCGGGGCCGGACTGGAGAAGGTAAGAAATCTCTGCGGTTAGCAGAGTTGAACTGGAACAGACACGGGACGTGCGGTGAATAACCACCCCTCCCTTCGCAGCGGGGAGAGGAGGATGATAACAGGTTTGCTTATGTACAGGTGCAGTCGCTCCCCATTTCAACACAGCAGCATTTGTGTGAGGAGTCTGGGCACGACCGAATTACGGCTGTACTTTCCTACAAGCTGAAGAAAAACGGGAGGCAGCGGGTCGCCAGGCTGTCGCTGGACATGCTGGAATGTGCTCTACGTCCCAAGGGAAAACTCGGCCCTCTCCCCCCTCAAAAACACACCCTGGAAGTATTTTTATCTGTAGCAGACCGCGAGTTAGTTTATATCGCGTACGGCAGACCCAGCGGGGGATAAAATTGAGATGGGCTGAGTGGAAAAAAGTGTCTCCTAGTAAATCATTGGAACTATTTCTTGTGTACAGCCATCGCCGAGTTTTCCGTCTGAGTAGATGGCGCTGCTTTGTTTGAAAGCTGATGAGATTGTCGTCTAGAAAAGGATCACAGAATCACCGGCTGGTTGAGGTTGGAAGGGGCCTCTGGAGGTCATCTGGTCCAACCCCCCGTGCTCAAGCAGGGCCACCCAGAGCCGCCTGCCGGGGATCGTGCCCAGATGGTTTTTGAATATCTCCAAGGACAGAGACTCTGCAACCTCCCTGGAGAACCTCTGCCAGTGCTCGCTCACCCGCACAGGGAAAAAGTGTTTCCCGATGTTCAGAGGGAACCTCCCGTGTTCCAGCTTGTGCCCGTTGCCTCTGGTCCTGCCGCAGGGCACCCCTGAGAAGAGCCTGGCTCCGTCCTCTTGGCGTCCTCCCTTCAGGTATTTGTAGACGTTGATGAGATCCCCCTGAGCCTTCTCTTCTCCAGGCTGAAAACTTCTTTCTCTGTGCTTCTCTGTGTGCGCTCCCTGCAAAGAAGAGCGAGCTTTTAAATCGGCCAGAAACCTTTCGGAAAGCGAGCGCTGTGGACTTCGTGTTGTCTGTGGATCCCAGATTGCTGCTTCAGCTGGTCTGGAGTCTCCTAGGTCCGAGACGGAGAAGCTCTGTCTTGAACAGTGCGTTAGGCTGGGCGCCGTGCTGTCGCCACAGAGGCTCAGAAACCGGATTACAGGATCGAGGCTTCAGATTGTACCTCCCTAACGGTCCACAAAACCCAATGTTCTGACATGGCCTTGTTTCTGTTCCCAAAAACGCTTTGGAAAAAACCACATACTGTAGAGACTGGCTGCTTTGTACATTGGAAATGGCTTGTTGGGGCTTTCAAATCCTGAGTCCGGACCACATCGCCAGCGAATGAGGTGTGTTGCGGTGCCTGCCAGATCAGTTTGCAGCCCGACCTCGTTCCTCCTCCTCTTCCCGTTTCAAGTTTGCTCCCTGCAATCAATTTTCCAGCCTCTTGGCCTGTCTTGAATGTGTTAAGCAGCGATCCTTCCGCCTCTTTGTTTAAAACCCTCTTTTGCCGTCTTCTGAATTTCACAGCTGGCATCTGAAGAGGGCACGGTGGAGGAAACGGGCCCGGCGGTCTCCGTCTAGCTCTACTGAGCAGGCATTGCCTCTCACGAAAACTGTCGCTGCTCCTGTCCCTGCTGCTTGACAGCCCGGGCAGTGGTCAAGGATTAAATGGACTTTACAGAAGGCTTTGGATTCTCTTACATCATTTCACCCAACAAAAGCGTAACCACGTGAAAATCTCTTAGGCATTCTCCTGGGTCATCTAGTGGTTGCTGTGAAGAACACGAGATGTGGTTAAGCTTGCCTTTTTAGCGCTTCATCTTTGCTATGAAAGCAGAAGCTATCATAGAATCATTAAGGTTGGAAAAGACCTCTAAGATCATCGAGTCCAACCGTCGACCCAACACCACCAGGCCCACTAAACCATGTCCCTAAGCGACATGTCCCTATCCAACCTCGAATCCGCAAGCTGAGCTCCACAGATAGTTTCCCCTGCTACTCCCGTTCCTCTTGCACCTAAATACATCATTTCAGCCAAAAACGTGCTGGGATGCAGGACAGGCATAGAATCATAGAATCATAGAATCATTAAGGTTGGAAGAGACCTCCAAGATCATCGAGTCCAACCATCAACCCAACACCACCATGCCCACTAAACCATGTCCCTAAGCGCCTCATCTACCCGTCTTTTAAATACTTCCAGGGATGGGGACTCCACCACTTCCCTGGGCAGCCTGTTCCAATGTTTAACCACTCTTTCAGTAAAGACATTTTTCCTCACATCCAATCTAAACCTCCCCTGGCGCAACTTGAGGCCATTTCCTCTCGTCCTTTCGCAGTGTAGATACCCACAGGTGGAGAAGACTCTGGGTCCTCTTCTGAGCGCTGACTGGGAGAGAGCGTGCTGCTGAGGCTGGTGGTCGGGCTTGGATCGCTAACGCGCCTGCGCGTCTTCACGCAGCTGAGAATGGCTCCGGAAATACACGGTTAAAATTCGACCCGCGGGATTTTGCTGCGTGAGAATATACTATTTCACGTCGCGTTCTGAATTTGCGGTGAGGACGGAAACCAAATTAACCGGGTGCTGCGAAGGAAGAGGTTGGGCTGATGGAGCAGCGTTACTGATCGACACGAAAGTGGTCGTGGCTGTGGCACGAGCGAGACGAACGTGAAACAGGCCTGATCGGGGAAGAGACGGTTACGTTAAAACATTGGATCGAGGAGCTGGGGGCTCATTTCTGCTCCCCGCTCCCACGTTAGCCTCCCTGGACAAATCCTCTGTGCCCCTGCGTCCTGTTTGCAGAGCAGTGCTAGCGTCACCTGAGGGTTTATCTTTACAGAGATAAATCTGTGCATTATTGAGCTGCGCGATGAAGTACCCTTCTATTTTGAAACTGGGTTTATTCCGCTCCTGAATTTTTACCTTTTTTTCAGTGGACTGGTTTTGGTTTAGATTTTTCTTTTTTAGTGCAGATTCAAGAGCAATTGCTGTGAGGAATGCTTCTGCTCTGGTGTAATTAGTTTTGTCTACTGTAATCGCTTCTCCTTTTTCCATTGTTTATTGAAAGACGAATGAATTTCCAGGTCTAGTTGCATTGGGAATGCTGACAGCAGCTTTTTTAAATCCCGTAGCACAGCTATTTGTCTTTTTTACTCAGCTGAATCCTGCAGAGTGGGCCAAACTCAGCTTCACCCCTGTGTCCCGGGCAAATTACTGCACTAATTAATTTCTCTGAGACTGGGGCCTCCTTCCTGCTTAACATAGGAGAGTGATGAAGCGAGGGCACTCCGTCTGCAGGCATCAAGTGTGGATAGAAAATGGCAACAACCTCAGGTTAACTCGCTGAGTAAACTTGCATGAAGAGACGTGAGAGGCTGATCATTTAAAAGTCAGGTTACAGGATTTTTTAAAAAATATATATTATTAATTTCACGTCCTCCTTCATAAGACTACCTTGGTTTCTGAGAAGTGAGGTATGATCCATTGCGTTGTGTGTTTTTCTGTTCGTGCTCCCTCGGTTTATCGCCACAGGCATTGCTGTGGAGTGAGCAGAGTTGATTTTAAACCAGCAGAATCGGCGTTTTTCTTGGGCATGAGATGCCAGAAGTTATTGCTGCTCATTAAAAAGGAGGAAGGGCTGCTCCGTGTGGCAGCAAGAGAAGAGACGCGGAGGGGACTGTGGCTGAAGAACGTGCGTGGTTACTGAGAACGTCAGTAACGGTGGGAGACAACAAACCGTGCGGCAGAGAAGGGCTGCTCAGCAGCGCTCGACCAGCCAGCACGTTTGGATGCCAGAAGAGAAAGACTCCACGGGGGAAAGCTCCTTTTGGCAGAGCTT